AAGGTGGCATTAAAACGGGGTAAGTGGCCATCGAATGATCGTGCCGGGTAGTTCTCGTTCTCTGCTCGGCTAGCAAAAACACCGGCGGAATATCGCTGGTGTTTCTAGAGATAATATTGTGCTTGCACCATCTTCTTTCCAGCCGCGGCCATTGTCTTTTCCTTCTGCCGATGAAGCACGATGAAAACGTCGTTGAAAAGGTTTATTCGACAAATACGGAACCATTACGGCACGCACGCACGCACAGCTACGTATATTTACGGCGAGGCTGTGGAAACGATTATTCGATGGATTGAAATATCCGAGCGTCGAGTGACTGATCGAGGGATCTTTCGTTCGATCGATTCCATTCGATTCCATTCGATTCGATTCGATTGGATTCGATTCGGTTCGACATCCAAACGGATTGTGTTGTTAATGGAAAGCAAATGTACACCGGCGCTAGGCAAATAGATTTGTAAAAGATAATCAGTCTGAAGCTGGTTCAGAGAGCAAAGGAAGATGTCAAACGTTTAGAGATTAGGATAAGGGAAAAGTATAAGTTTAAATTGCGCGTACTGTAGTGTTTGCCGACGTTGAGAATATCTTGACAATTGTTGCGATCAATTGTCTTCGGAGTTCCACATGAATACGTGATACGTGACAGTGATGTTCGAGGAAAAATTATCGACCAAGTCGAAACTCCTCGAAAGTCAAAAGTGACTGAAAGCTTCTGAATGAAGAACGAACGCTGAAGATAGGAAGATTGTTCTTCCACTGAACAAGACAAATAGCAATTGCAGTGTCTAAACACTGTAACGTCGTTACCTAAGATCACATCGTACACACACGTACGTGCGTATTTGCTCACCAGTCGTGTAAGATTAAGACGCCGTGTTATGTCTAGATTAGTATTCCCTGTCATCGGTACTTGTGCGACATACCAGCGACTTACCGGAAACTGGAAATTTACAGACCGCCGTTCGGAAAGGTTGAAATCGCCGTTTTCAAAAAGCAATTATCAATTGCATCTTTCATTGGAATTTTATTCAGCGAAAGTTCGAAGAAAAATTCCGGCTTTTTTTTTCTTTTGTTTCTTTTTTTTTTAATCAAATTTTTGTTTCCAGTCGAGAGCGACGTTGCAGTCAATTTACAATTTTCAACTGTTTTTCCAATGAAATTACTGTTGACACGTTGGCAACGTTTATCGAGGCGAAATTTTATTTAATGAATAATTTATTGGAATTCTGTTGTTTCATTGCCTACGTTATTGTCAGGCATCATACCAATTGATGCTCTTATTTGCATCCGAATGTCCTTTGCACTCCAGTTCTCGGACAGTACTTGATACTCGATCAGTTTAATATTTTCAGAAAAAAAATAAAAAATAAAAAAAAAGAAAGAAAAAAGGACTAACGCGGACTAAATTTGACAACTCGAACGGTCGAATTCTTTTTCTAGAATCGTTTTGAAATTATTCCCCACGTACGGTTATTTATCGCGTCGATTATATAATCTCGCAATTGCCCGTCAATCCAGTTAATAAACGATTACTCCGGAGTAACCTGCTTTCGAATAAAAATCAACTGCACGCCGTTAATTTGACTTGGCGCTCTAGCGAAAATCGAATTACTACCGCGTATCGCCACATAAACGAACCAATTACCCAAACTGTTTTATCCGCCAATTTATTCGAACAAATGGAACTTTACTAATGGCCTATAAATCGAATAACTATCTCGCGCGTTACGATTAACGTCATTCCCCCACCCCCATTCACCATCACGTCCTAATCACTCGATCGAGTTTCATTAACTGTGCCCGTACCATTGAAAAATCGGCGTAATAATCACTCTTCGTCGATATCGATATAAACGAGGCGCGCTCGTCGATGATCACGAAATGATTATAGCTAAACTAGATGGAAATTTCCCGTTTTTTTTCTCTTTTTTTTTTTTCGTCGAAAAGAACTTGGCGCAGAGTATGAAACCCTCGCGTTGTATTTTCAAATAAAAAGAATTCTCACTTTACATTTTGAACATCCGTGTGTGTTATTTAACACTGAACGTACCAAGCGATGTCAAATGACCCCTTTTCAAAATTTACTTTAAAATCGTACATTCGTTGTTCGATTATTCAATTCTCGTTTTCTGTTTTTCTCTTAGCTTATTTTTTCACCGAGAAAAATTCTTTGCATACCTTGTGTACCACGAGGGGTCATTTGACCCCTTATGGTAAGGTAGATATATGTAAAATGCCGGTACGTTTAGTGTTAAATACTCTGCGTAATGTATCTCGCGGTAAATCTATTTATTAGCTATCTTTGCCATCGTCGAATTTTCGAAACTTGCGCCGTGTATTATTATTATTTATTGCAAATGTTGAAATATTTCTTCGCTTCTTC